TTTCTGCCCCAGAACGAGTTTTTGCACATAAGCCAAAAAGTTCAATTTTTGTCTCGAATGACCAGTGCGCCTTCGTCCTCATGTTTGCAGAGTGCCTGAATACAAATACTCAACACTGTTTTTGGGTTTTTATTTGTACAATCTTCCAAAAAACAATTTTTCCAACTACTTCACAAATATAGTCTATATTGGAACTTGATTTGTTCCACACATTTCCAATAAAATACACTAAAATTTGGAGCTGTAACTTGACAAAATGGGGTGTGGATTACTATGCAATGCAGTATATGCAGTCTGCGACAGCACTTTGTTGGGTGTTGTTAAAATAACATCCATGAATGACCCAGAATTCTACAGCAGAGAGTTAAACTTCTTCTTTAACTATTAAATTCTAATTACTGAATCAGGTCTTCAACATAACAGAAAGGTGGACTCTCTCTTGCATTAGGGATTGCATATACTGGAAGAAAATCTGCTGTAGTGCTTCATTTTAAGTGGTTTTCTCTTAAGATTTTTACCAGCACAGCAGTATCGGTTCTACTGCAGCTCACTAATTAATTTTTAATAACCAAATCTGGTAATCTGTCAATAGAAGAAACTCAACACAGCCTTACAGTGAGCATATGATAAATATATACAACATGTGAATGAAGTCAGTGCACTGCTACAGCTGCGCCATTCTATGTTCTCCCTGCATTACTGTGAGGCTGTTTGATGTTGCCACAGAACCACAGAGTTCACAGAGGGTAAAAGCTGAATCAGCTGGATGACTCAGCAAAACATACAGTCAACCTCTTACTGACTGTCACTGTAGGCTTTGTTGACCACAATATTTAAACAGATTGTTTCATGGATTTCAATTCTTAGTGATTGTTTTTTAGCTTAAATCTGATACCACACTGTTCCCTATCTTGCAGAGTATGTTACCCTTTTAAAAAACATGTAAAGTAGGTTTAAATATGAGAAAATGAAAAAGATTCTGCAGAATAACATGTCCTCTCACATCCTTGAAGTATGTCTGTAACGTTAGATGTGGTCTTGGTTTGAAGAGTTTATCTGTATTGAGATCAAGGGTGTGGAAATTTTAGACTTTAACTGTGTTAGGATGGGGTATGTTCATTTTGCCTTGATATCACACACTCATTGCATTTTTTTCCATATTTAACTATTACTTTACAGTCTGAGAATATAGAATATTAAAATTAAAATATTAAGTATAGATGCCATGTGAGTGCTCTGTTAGTGTCCCCAAGTGGTCAGATAATTATTAGCTTAATTAATTAATTAAAAATTAATTAATTAATAAGTAATAATAATAATCAATAATAATCAATAATCAAATCAATAAGTAGTTACTGAGAAAAAGTACTCTAATATTTGGGCAATTACAGGGACAATTGAGTAGCATTACTGCAAATATTGTAGCTGTGACACACATGTGGTTTACATTTCCCCAAAAAATCCAGAGCAGCCTGGCATAGCTTGTGATCAAATTAAATGCAACGCAGATATGGAAAAGTATGATGGTGTTAAAGATAAGATTAGGGTAGAGAATTAACTACTCTTAGTCTGAAGCAATGGTTCTCCACTGGAAAAAGATGGACTGCTTCATCCTGGTGTGGAAGTCTTTGCCTAAAGCAGTGATGGTAGGATAGAGCAGGAGATGGGTGAATGGACCAGGACCTCGTCTGCATTAATTTAGGTGCTACTTCTGTCTGTTGGGAAGAAAAAACTGATTCAAAAAGCATTACAAAGCGTTATCGAGTCACCTATCAATATATTTCCGCCCCTTACATTTGTTCATGACTGAAACAGCAAGATCCTGGATACAAGCAGCTGAAATGAACTTCCTTCATTAGGTGGCTTGATTCATCCTTAGAGATAGGGTCTGTCATCCAAGGGAGGAACTCAAAGTGGAGCCACTGTTTTCCCACATAGAAAGGAGTCAGTTTTGATGGTTCGGGCAATCAATGCCTCCTTTGCGCCTCCGTTCGATTTTTCACACATCTTCCACTGGGAAGACACCCGTCCGCAGACCCATGGATGGATGGATGGATGGATGTTAAATTATTTAGCGTAAAGTTATTGTTTTATTATTGTGACTATATATATGCAAAAGATCAGCAAGAGGAACTATGTTTTCAGACTGATTGGAGAATATAGGCTACCTCAGCCAATAAAGCTTAATTAGTACATTGAAAAGAATTAGTATTTTACTTAATATTTTCTTACTAAGCAGCCAAAGAGGGTGAGTCATGGTGCAATAATGTGTTTGCATTGTGAGTGAGACTGATTTAATGGCAGGCTTAAATCATAGATTGTGTTGTAATTGTTTTGAGCATGTTGGGAGGGGGTTTGAGGAGCGCTCGTGCATGTCTCTTAGCGTGCACTCCCTCCCTGTACTGTGATTGGACTAATCCATTATTGATGATGTCCTGATGAGATCAATCAAGCCAGAGTTTTTTTTTTTTTTTTCATTTTTTGGCTGCTGACACTGATAATGCCGTTATAACACACTAATAGCCACTGTCATGAATATTTAAATCACAAGGAACACACACTCCATATTCATGACTTCTCTGTTTTTGTCTTGGCTTTTTCTTTTTACCTCCGTCTACAGTCTACTCCCTCCTCTTCAAAAACATGCATCCTCACTGTATATTGTATTTTTTAAAGTCGTTACTGTCATCCCCTTATTTACTGTGAATCTAATCCCTATTAGACAGGAGATCATACCTTCAGAATATGTCAGATCTCTCTGCTTATCCTCCTGTGCACCTCAGTTCAGCGTGACCAGAAGTCCACAGAGAACCAAACCACATCTCTGCTGCCTCGTCGTCTTCTCTGTTCCACTGCCGCATTGTTTTTTTATTTACCTCAGAGACAAATGCCATATTTATTCATGAATCCCCACAAAATGCTGGTAAAATAAACATTTGTTTCCTCCTAATGAAAAACATGTTCCCGAAATGAGTTGTTTTGTTTCATGCTCGACCCCAAACAAGTTTGCTCTCGATAAAACAAATAAGTATGAAAATAAAAAGGCAATAATGCAATTGCTCACAGTGTAAATGCATTTGTTCCAGCAACTATCCTGTGGAGGCAAGCATATCAGTAATAATTCATAAACAAAAGAGCTAACTGTGTTCATAATTCATAAGAGAAGAAACATATACACCCCAGTGTACACGGTGGCTTTTGCGAGACTAACTTGCTGCTAAACAGAAGCCGTTGACAAAGCTGTCCTACACTGAGGTTTAAAAAGTTGCATCTGACACTTTTATTCATTATTTTCTTTATCAGACTACAAGATGCATAAACTGAATACAAAAATTGCCTATATATAGAATTATTCAGGAAAATATCTTCCTATTTCTTTAATTTGTGTGGGAATATTCTCACATTATTAAAATATAACGACTAGAGAAACACAAAACATGGCTTCTTTTACGTTTTGATTGAAATTCAAAGCAGGTTAATTCAGATCTATTGGGAGGTTTTTGGTAATTACATCTTCTGAGATAAAATTTGTCTTAAGGTTTAAAAATGACCCCATTGAGTCACACAATTGTGAAATCCTCAAGATGTCACGGTGTCTCGGTTTTCTGTAAACACATTAAGTGCATTATATGTTATGAAAGTATGGCTCAATGCTTTATTGTAGCTGACACAAAACAAATTTGGTCATGTCTTAGGCATTTATGGACACATTTTACCTTCAGCTGTAAGTGTTGTAGTAATTATTGATTCCCATACTTTCTGTAAGGTGTTTGTGTCCTTTTATTAGACCTTTTAACAACCTTGGAGGTGAGATATGGGAATATTCTATGACCTAGCTCAAGTCTTCATTCTCCTTTTCTGTAATATTCCTTAATCCATATTATATTTGTATGTATCAAATTTTACTTACGTAGACTTACACTATGACTGTGTAGAAGAATACTTTCGCTCCACATCCTAAGTAAAATCATCTTACCACTAACTTCTGTTAACTAACAAAAAGGGTCAGTAACTATATAAAATGTGCCTGTAGTAAACATTTTTGTGGTTCTATTTGTGCATATTTGTTCATTTCCTTATTTAAATCAGGTTTTATGTGCATGCATCAGTAAAACATCTCATGTTATACCCTTTAAATGCTGACCCATATTACCTGAAACCAGTTGGGCCAGTCTGCAGCATATTTGTTGGACTAAAGATAAAATTTAAGCAAATAACATTTATTTTTATAATATAAGATATAAGAAGTCTAAAGTGCATTATTTATAGAAATTCTATAATACAATTCTGCAGAAGCATATGTTAAATCTCTTACATCTGGATTTTGACGTTGACTGTGTGACCTTGGGTGATGTCACATCAGTTCTGTCGGATTTTTGGTGATAGGCTTTCCAGCTAATGTATTGACACCCTCAGCTTTGCTATATACTTTTTAAGGCAAGAATGAAATGCTATTCACTTATTCGGTCTAAAATTACCTGATGTCCCAACATACCTGAACTCCCACCATAACAATTACTTCATCAGCTTCAGTAACAATTGACTTCACACTTGACTTCTCTCTCTCTGTTTTTTTTCTTATTGTCATGTAAAACTTTAATTTCAGTGTATGTTGTTTATTAATTTATAATATTATTTTCATCACTGTTGTTGTTTCCCTGGTTTCCATTTTTTCTTCTCTGGGATGTCAAATTAGCTAAATAAACCAGGTACAACCTACAGCCTTTGATTTAATTAAGTCAGTTGTGCAACAGGATAAATATGTGGATAGAATAAAAATCTTTAGTTTATAATTTGTTCATAGACACAAGAATGATGGGTATCATAGTATTTAAATCCACCTGCCATATCAGAAATATTCTAGTGGCTAGTAAGTTGAAATAATTATTACTAGGGGTAGAAATATATAAATAACTGTTCTTTGTGTTTGAGTTACATTTATCTTCTGTTTTGATTTGTTTTTTTGTTTTTTTCATAAAAATCTTCTTAAAGGGGGCGCTGCGTGGCTCAGTTGGTAGAGCAGGTGCACCATGTGCCGAGGCTGTAGTCTGTAACGCAGTGGTCCTGGGTTCGATTCCCAATCTGCTGCATGTCTTCCCCTTCTCTCTCCTCCCTCTTCCCTGTCAAAGGTCTATAGTGCCAAAAAATCTTAAATTCTGTAATGTTTCTCTGAACAATTCTCAAGCAGTTCCACTGTGAGATGCACCAATTAATCAGCCAGAAATTTAAATCAGATAATATTTCCTTGATCGGCTCTGAACTGTGATCAGCAGGAAAAAAAAATAAAATTTTTGATTATTTTCCACTTTATTAAATGCATTAAAACAAAGAACTTCCACCATTTTCAGCCTATAAACACATTGACCAACAGCAAGTTTGTTGGTGCACGATTTTTTGAGGTAAAAAAATCTGATTAAAATTAGGAACAATACTCCGATCTTTTAACTTAATCTATTTTCACCTACTTCCTCTATTCTAGAACCTGCAGCACATTTCTTTTACATATTTTAGAAATAAATCATATTTAGTCAGGTCTGCATGACACCAGAAATATTGGACTGGAAAGACTGGATTAGTATATATCTAATTACAGCGGTAATGCAAGTCAGCTTCAGAATTTTGTGGTAAGTTGAAGCAAAGTAAGGAAGAAACATTCTCCTGAAGGGGAAGAAATCAGTAGAAATTTGAGCGATGTCAACGGCTGCTTGAGTGTGCAGAACTAAACCCCCTAATGCCTGCCGTGTGTGTGTTGTTTGCTTGTGTTTGGTACACTTACAGTAAGTGTGTGCCCTACACTGACTCTCATGAGCAGTGGGGGAAGGACCTAAAGATACAGTATCCTTAACAGAGCTGTCTAGACCTCTGTGGATTGTAAGGCACAATACAAGTGGCTTTCATTCACACACTGAAACTTCCTCCTTGCCTTTATTACTCTCGCTGTGTGTGGTAAGCTGCACAGGCCGCCTCAGGCCCTGACTGTTTATGGTTTGCCAGAGAGGTCTGATGGAAGGGTAGATGGATGAGAGGCATTAAATTACATGCTGACTGACCACAGAGGTGGACAGTGACGCCGCAGGGCCAAGCACTGTCTCTATTTCGGAGTCCATCTTTCTTCCCCTGCTGCTCCGTTCACCATTTTTATTTAAATTCAAATTCTCTTGCAACAAATTTTTTTTTATCTTAGTTATTTAAAACAACTTTCAGATGCCGACTGTGCAAAGTGTTTACATTAAAAAAACTTAACTTTACAGTTTTTGTCTGTGGTTAGATGGCAAAACTCAGTGAAGAATTTTACTGAAGTGTCTGTAATAGTCGGGAAAGCAGTCATACCTCTGAGGTTTTTAGAACACAGCTATTGTTAATAGGAAGACGACAGCACTGCAGGGTTACCACTAAGAAACCTTTTTGTTTTATTACTTTACTTTTTTCTCTATTATTAAACAGTATATGAGATGCTTTTGTTTGTGTAATTTTTGCTTGAGTTTTCCACAGTATTTCTGTGAATGTAGATTCAAAATATATATCAGACTACAGCATAATATAGTTGTAATGTGGATTGTCTAGCATTAATTGGCTTGATTTGAACTGAAAGTAGATATAAACTGAACCTTTTAGTAAAGTGCCATCAAATGATATTATTTGGTAAACTGCTGCTATAATACATTATTTCAACTGATCTAAATATAGGAAGAAAAACAACATTCTTTAATATTTTACCTGAATTTTATTCAAAACAAATAGAACAAAACTAATGAAACAAAGGCTGGTCTGTGAAGGATTTTATATTTTTCCTTTTTTGTATTTTTAGTATAATCAATATAATCAAATATATATTCCGCACTTTTGTATTTTGTTGTGTCAGTGTCTGCAAAAACACACAGCTAACATAACACACAAACACACTCTCTCGCACCATCAAACCTTACTCCTGATAGGCCAGAGGGGGTTCCATTAGCCCCCACCACCTGCTGTGAAACACCCACTCCTTTCTTTTTCCTCCACTGACACACACGCACACACACAGACAACTGAGTGCACTTGAATGCAGAAACTTAGTGCCCTCACTAACAAACTATTGCTTTCTTTCTTTGTAAAAAGAAAGCAGTGAATATTCTCCAGGTTTGTAATTTCTGTTTTATACGCACAAGAAAATCAACTGATTACATGTACAAGCAGCAGTTTAAAAAATAAACTGTAGCAAATGAATTATTTATGCTGCTCAGAAAAAGAAGAAGAAAAAACATGCAACCACATCAAGGAAGTGTGCTTGACAAGTAAAAAAGTTCAGATTTAGGAAAAGAAAGGCAACAGAGTTTTTCCTGATTAACAGATCTTTTCAGTGTTGATATATTGATGCCTGAACCTGCAAGAATTTTAAAATATTGTATCTGATCGTAATACTGCATTTTATGTTGGGAACGTAATTTCTATGTTAAAACTACAATTTTTCTGAATGCAAGAAATTATCATGAGACTTTTAATTTGACGATGTTAACCAAAAATGGAAAGTAATATATTACATTTAAATTATATATATATATATATATATATATATATATATATATATTTGTAAAATGTCTAAAAACATCTCCACATGCCATTTCATTCCTTCAATCACTATCAAGCATTTCTTCCCTGCTTTTCTTGTCCTTCTATTTTGGGTTTTTCTCATCCCATGTATCCCTCCTTCATTCCCCCCCCCCCCCTGCTCCATCTCCAGTTCTCCAATGCCCCTCCTCAGCTCAGTAGCCGTGGCGAAGACAGTACGATGCGCAGCAATTACTCTAATTGGTTGTGACTTCTTCATTTACATGACAAGTGCACAGTGGTCCTGGGAACCAACGGCCTGCACTCTGCACCCTTCCGCAGCCCTGGTCAGCCCCTTCCTGAGGTCCTTTCCCGGGGCAGTGGGTGGGGAGGAGGTGGGTCACTGTGAGAAGGGGTGGTGGAAGACAAAAGGGGTGGTGTTTGGGTGTGATAGGGCATTAGATGGTCCAAGGATCCCTTGGTGTGTCCTACAAGCAGGTAGTCCTAGACTCGTGAGAGTGGGTGGTGTTAAAGGGGAGTCGGAAGAGGGATTTAGAGGGTTTTCAACAAAGGTCATGCACGAGGTGGACATGCACGAGATACAGGTGAAAGACACTGTTTCAAAAATCAACGATGTTCTCAGACAAATGACCACAGAAGTCTCCATGTGGTCTCTGAGCCAGTTTGCATTGAAAGTGACACATTTCGGGGGGTTTAAGGGTGGTGGGAGTTTGGATGGACGCTCCCGAACAATATTGTCTGCTTCTCGACATTCCTGTTGCTCATCGTCACAGCGACACTGCGACTGCGGCCTCCACCCATAACTAGGCGCTGATCTCAAACAGTGAAACCACTCATTAGCGTGGCTGCTGTGCGTGCATACATGTGCATGAAAGTGTGTGTGTGTGTGTGTGTGTGAGAAAGAGAGAGTGTGTGTGTGTTCTGCACTGTTAGTTTAAGCATTGAGTGTACTCAACTGAGCTATTGTTATGGTAATTCAGGAGTTCGGTATTCATTCAGTGGGCGGCTCTAATGTTTGCTTTGCGGATAAAAAGGGGGTTTTATTACAAGCTGAAGTTCACTTGTCAAGACTAATCCCATTTAAACAGCTATTCTGCAGGGCAGAGAGGGTGAGAGGCTGCGGACACATACTTCTCATTACTAAACAGGCTGTTAGTACAGGGCATGGTGCTGTTAGTACAGGGCATGGTGCTGTTTGTATATATGAAGCATGTGATAATAGCTTTACAGGCTGAGGGCAAACACATCTACCCTGTGGTTCTGAGTTTCTGCTTTTTTACATCTATCTTAAAAGAAGAGTCAACTGGAAACTATAGCTTGAGCATTAATGTAGCTGTATTTATGACCATGAATTCATCCAATAGACTCTTCTGAAAGATGAAACATAGAGGCTTTATATTTAAAAGATTAAAATAAAATCTCACTTTATTTGTAAAACCCAATAAATTTGTGGGGAGCGAGGACTTTACAATATCTTTCGAAATTAGCTTAAACTTTAACACATTTTTGTCAGGTTAAAAAAACCAACTTCAATGTATTTTATTGGGATTTTATGTGATGGTGATATGGAGGACCGATCCTGACAAAATTAAAAATAAAAGCAGAAATATATATATTTTGTTTTTCCTTTTCCTTAAACATGCATTTTCATCAAGAAATATAAATATTTTCTTTTTCCTTTTCCTTACACTTGCCTTTGTTCTTTTTACATTTCCTCGTCTCTCTTTTTCCTTTACCGTATGCATTTCTCCTTCATTATGCAAATGAGGAGGGCTGCCTTCTTCTCTCCAGCTCCTCTACTATTGG